AGGAGGACCCTTGAAACGTTGCGATCAGTCGGAGCATTGAAATACAAGGACTGCCACCCCCTTAAAGTACGGAAACATCCAAAACACCCCCGCTGCCCCCCTCATTTTTCGTTGCGGAGCGCGTAAAAACCGGGAAAATCGCCAGAAATGATGCCCGAAACCACTGTAGAACTTGACGCGGACCCTTGAAACGTTGCGCCCAGTCGGAGAACTGCAACACAGGAACTGCCGCCCACTTTAAGGACGGAAACATCCATAAAACCCCCGCTGCCCCCCTCTTTTTTCGTTGCAGAGCTGGTAAAACCCGGGAAATTCGCCAGAGATGATGCCCCGGCTAATCTAAAAAATGAAGGTACGGACCCCCTAAATAACCTTTGGACCCCCCTAACTTTTGACAGGGGGGTCAGATTGACTTCCGGTTTGCGCCAAAAATTTTCTTTTTTCGTGCTCTTTCTAACGATGTATCACATGATGGGGGTTGCCATTTGAAACTTTTGAGTTGATTGTTGAGTTTTTGAGTGAAGAACTGGAAAGTACGTCAAAAAGTTTCCCCCTCGATATGAGGAAGGACGTCACAAACCGCAAATCGATATCATAATATTAGAACTAAAGTTATGGCCAGTGGTGCGTAACTTTTGAATAACCCTGTATATTTTACATAACCGTTATACTTTGATTATACATTTTTTATATACATGCTTTTTATTATACTTCGTTTATATACTGTGAATTTAGTTCTGCCACTAGGGAAATTCCTAATATTCAATGCTCTCTGCCGCTTCAATCAGAAGTAAAATCTAAATTTATGAAAGCGCGTGACCCACGGTGCACGTGAAACCAGCGGTGTACCTAGCACAACTTCTTCAAGCTCAGTGTCTGCTAGGGGACCAGTCGTGGACTTAACGCATGATGAGCATCCCCTAATTAATCGCAAAACAGTCGGCAGGGGTCGTCCTGCAAATAGGTCTCCTCTACCAAGTGCGTCATCTCAACCAACCAACGGTTCAACGCCCAGCAGATAGAGTTAAGGAAGCTCCAAGCTGGTTGAAAGACTTTAAAACTTAAATCTAATACTGCCTTAATCTTTTGTGCAGTATTCCTTGTAATTTTTTGTTTTTTCCTGTTTTCTATTGCTGTTGTTAGTTTCTAGCATCAACTCAGTTATGTCTTCAGTTTTTTAAGGGAGGAAGACTGCTATATGCATGCCGCATGCCGGTCAAGTGGGCGGCTTATCCTGTAAGGCGCGAGCCGTCTGAGGCCGCAGCCAGGTCAAAGCATCCTGTTATGTCTATTCAATACAGGCTTCGATTTCCTCCATGAATGACGTATTCGTTCTCTGCCTTTTTCTTCCTGCCTCGCATAGCATTTTTCCTTCGTCATTTTCCCAGACATAGCATGAAGAAACGCAACTTCATGCAAAAGGAAAGTTCGAAAAAGCAATCAGAATTGATCGGAACAGCAAAGCGTTGGGATATGGACGATGAGAAATAAAATACACCAACCCAGCAAGTTGAATTGTATTGTAAAAGTAAATTTTTTCATTAAATTTGTATCATTCTTACCAAAACGAAAGGCAACGCGGGGCAGTGGTGGCTTTAAAGATCCTTGATGTGTACCAGGCTCTAGCGCCAGGCCTCTGCACTGCTGTCCGACCTAGCGTTACCAAGTAGCCTGCAGTAACACAACGAAAATGCGTCAGTAAAAATTTTAATATTATTTATTTTTTATAAGCACAGTAGAACTTACAAAGGACAAAACTACAGTATATGAGTAGTGATATGGAAATAAGGGCCTGCGCGCAATCGATAAATCGATCTTCGACCTGCTAGGATGAAAATGGCACTTTAAGCCCAAAAGTTTTTAGGCAAATTGTGCAGATAAATACGAATTAAACTATGGATTAATGGGGGTGGGCATCGTACCATCTGGCAAGGCTAAAAAAAATTTAATTTTAAAAATTTAGAGGTATTGCGTCTTGCCCCTTCAATCTATTTGAGAATATTACTGTTGCAACTTGGCAAAGTGGCATTTACTTAAAAAGAAATTAAGTTTAGCGGAGTGGACAGTGTGGTGAAATTGTGCATTAAAATGTGAACTATGAGGGCTGGCAGGGTGAGCAGTGTTGTAAAAGTGTGCGTACCAATAGTAAAATTTAAAAATTAATTTTTCAAAATTTTATGACAAAAAAATGTGAAATTGAACTGACAGTGTTGTTGTTGAAAATTGTGCATTGGAATATGAATTGTGGGTGGGGCATTGTTGCCCTTTCAATTTGCGGGTTATGCAATATAGTTTACCCTTTTAATTTGTCGTTTATGCAATAGCTTATGTTACCCGACGGTTATGGAGTAGGTTTCCGAATTCTGCATTTATTTTTATTTTATTTTTTTCTTGTGGCGGGGAGTGTGCGGGGGCTGTGTAGTACCTTGGACTTTAGGCATCGGGGACATTAGTATGGGATAGAGTCCCTTTATACTGAGAGTCAAGACAACACCCCTCATGGAGTCACAAACGGGAATAAAGATTACAGAAATTGAACGTTTTTCGTAATCTTTGATCGGCCCATTCTCGAATTCCTTTCTTCGTTCCTTCCCTCATTCCGTTTGTTCCTTGTCGAACCCGTAATTCCCCGGTCCATCCTAGATTATAATCTTTGTAATCGGTGAAACTGTAATCTTTATTCCCGTTTGTGACACTGTGGAGGCCTAAAATACGGGAACCAATCAGAAATGGATTCACATTGTCTTGACTCTCAGTATAAAGGGACTCTAGTATGGGATACTTCAGTGGAGTTCCGGGTGTGTATCAGAACCTTACACTTTGGGCTTCAGAGGCATTAATATTGGATACTTCAGTGGAGTTTGGGAACGTGTATAAGAATTTTGGGAATATTGTGTCGGGTTTGAGTATTGTAACATTAGATTTGATGTCTTAAAGTATTGAGTTTCATTTAGGGGAACGCCCATGCCAGAGCACTTCTTTTTCCACTCTCTTAAAACGTGTTCTGGAAAGATCTTAAATAATGTAGGTGACAGACAACATCCTTGTTTTAAACCTTTAGAAACATAAAAACCACCAGATAACCTCCCTTGACATTTAATTTTAGTAAAAACTTCCACAGTAATATTGCTTAATCGCATTCACAAGTCCATTACGAAAATTCGACTTTTCCAGGGCTTCCCAGAGTGCTCTGGCATGGGCGTTCCCCTATAAATGATACGGACACATTGTATACTCTATGTTTTGCTGATGACCAGGTGGTGATCGCGCAGGATGCGGATGACGCTGAATATATGACTCGGAAATTAGTGCTAGAATATCGAAGGTGGGGCCTAGAGGTCAGTGTCAAGAAAACGGAAAAGTTGACGATTAGAGGGGATCAGCAAGCTGGAAGATGGACAATGTATTAAAAGCTGCAAGCATTACAAATATTTAGGAGTTCGAGTATCCCAGGATGGAAAGATGGACCAAGCCATGAAAGATCTAAACCTGCAGGGAAGGAAAGCTATTGCTATGTTAAATAGAATTCTTTGGGATCAAAGTATCTCTAAAGAAAAAAAGAGAATGATTTATAACACCATAATCAAAAGCATTCTGACCCACGGCAGTGAAGTGTGGTCCATGAAAGAACGTACCAAAAAGATTCTTAAGGCAACTGATATGGATTTCTGGCGAAGATCAGCCGGAATCTCGAGGAGAGATCACGTAAGGAACGAAAGAGTCCGTGAGATCATGAACGCCGAGCAGAACATCGTGCATGAAATTATGACCAAACAGCTTGTCTGGTATGGTCATGTTCAACGAATGGCAGATGATAGGTTGCCTAAGAAGGTACTAGATTGCGGGTTCCTCCTGGGAGCAGACGTAGGGGACGTCCAGCAAAATCGTGGATAGGTGGCATTCAAGATCAAATCGCAAGATGCCATTTATCAGATGACCTCTGGATCGATAGGCAAGGATGGCGATTAGGTGTCGCAGAGCGCCCGGGCGCCCTGTAAAGCGACTCGAATGTATGTATGTAAGTATTAAGTTTTTGACTGTGGAGACGATGGTAAACAATTTTTAGAAATGATATTATAATTTCTGCTTTTTTAGTATCATCATCTTCAATCAGGTATACATTATAAAGAATTTGACCCTATCCAGGTCGAAGGAGTCCGTTTTTTTTCACTCATCGCTGAAGAAAGGTCAATGGGAACACACGCTCTCCTCTCTCGTTTTAGACCGAAAGCTCATGACGATTCATTCAACCGGAATAATATAAATTTGCCACCCAAGGTAGGAACTATAAGTAAACAAAAAATAATGGGTGTCGAGTATCTTCAACTTCCTCGTAAATACATGTCCAATCGGTGGACAGCATAAGAGTGCGGTCCCTCAAGTTTATGCTCGAGAACTTTCCACCGTTTGCGGCACATGTGACTTTGCGGTGAAGGGCTCCAATTTTTTACAATATTTTCACATTTAATAGTGCCGACTTAGGAGATGCTGCTCAATAAATTCCACTATTTTCACTGCTTTGCTCAGATAAGAACTACTGCAGGGGCGTCATTTTAAGCTGGGCATACGGCTAAATAGGTACCCTTAATGGTATCATAGGAGGCACATAAGCACACGACTAAATACAACTCATTTTTTTTCGACTTTTCACTTTATTTTAAGCTCAGAAAAATATAACAAGATATTTTGAAGTCATTCATTTCGAGTGTGCGTAATTGCGTTTTAGATGTTTCGGTAGGTCCAAAAAGTGTCCAATCAAGTTGAAATTTTTAGTGGGTGATTTTAATGGCAGGCATCACCAGAAAAACCCGGTGGAGCGGGCCTTTTCGAAATTTTTGGAAAAATGACATACCCTACTGTGGGTAGCAGTAGCCCTTTGGGTATCTTAAACCTCAACATACGTGTTTTTCTTGAACAGTTAGGCTAGGCTTTGGGCCTAGAGAACAAAAGGGGCCTGCGCAGTGCGCTCTATCCTCCCTGCTCTCCTCCTCTTCAGGCTGCTAGTATATTATATTCTAGCCGTGTTCAGCTCGCTGTGCGAGCTGTCACGCCTGGCCGGGGAGTGCCCCTGGACCCCCGGTTCTTCGCATCGCGATGAGCCGATGCATATCTCTCAAAAAACTAGCGTGAAAAGAGCTGAGATAGAGGCAACGGACCAAAAGAAAATATACTACAAACTAAATTTAGGTATTGCAGGCAACTAAATCAGAACAGAGATATTTTAGAGCGAGACAAAAGATAGACTTTATTCATGTCTGAAAGGTTTTAGCAGAAAAGACATTAGGTATCACAGATAAAGATTACTCGGATAGGCAAATATCACAGGAACACAACTTAGGCTAAAATAGACTCATGGTGTCGCACACTCGCGTACACACACATATGCAAAAATCCTAATCAAGGAAGTAGCCTGATCAATAGATCCTGGCTGCAAAGATGAGAGACTAGATGCCTACTAGATGGAACTAGATGGCTGTGGCTGAAGGCCCGAAGAAGGAGAAAATACAATCAAACCCAGCTGGATGACGAAAGGTAGCAGCGAGATAACGGGTCAGCAAATCAGCACATCTAAGTAGGTCATTGAATAAGGCGGTAAACAGCAGGCAAAGCCAGGAACTAGAGATCAGGAACTACAAAATCAGGAAGAGAGACAGGAGCTGTGCTTAGGAGCTAGACAAAAAAACCCTGTAGGAAAATCAACCTTTGTTTAGTTCAAAGAAAACAAGAGTGAATCCTAACTTAATCAGTTGTTTTACAATATAATTGGTACTTGATAGAGCAGAAGGCTCGAGAAAACTTATGGGAGTTCGACACAATGATTTGGAACAGAATAACAATTAGGAAAAACATGCTTTATGTGATCATGGAAGGCACTGAGTACAAAGTACGAACTGCCTGGTCAGACGGACGCAGGCCTAAGGCTAAGTTAGGTCCATGTGCATGATCAACTATCAGGAAAACTAAAGCTAAAAATAATACCGGGGAAACAGCTCTGCCTTAGGGGCTTCAGAATAACTAAATCTGCAGGCTCAGAAAACCTAAGTACTGAAATTCTACTGAACAAGGTTGCGGCTCGCTTTAGGCCAGCATGTATTGAACAAACTAGGCCAAAATAGGCTCAAAGATAAGACTAGAAATAACAGAATAATCCTGCAAAGGAGAAAAATACACAAGCATAATAAAACAAGGAGCACGCAAGGCTCATGCAGTCTCATCTGTTAAATAAATAGGAAAGGCCAGCTTAAGTGAGATCAAGTGCTTTACGTTCACAATCAGAAAGAAAACACAGTGCTTAGCACACCTGAATAATGCTCGCAGCGCATCTCAAAAGTAGGAGCTTGACAGTTTGGCCAAGAGAGAACACGGAAACATCTCCTTCTCTGAGTGAGAATAACAACTAGGCCTAAGGTCTATGCAACAGGAGAAAGAACCAGTTCCTGAGGTTGCCGAGGAGTTCGGTAACCAGGACCAGAGACTAGGTCTCTGCGACAGGTGATCAGATCGAAGAGCCTCCATGCGTTCTCCAGGCCAAAATGAACAAGTTAGATTTGCTAGAAAAACCAACATTCTTGTGCTGGGAAGAACTGAAAATGATATCCTTAATTTGAGGTTCCAAGAGATCATTGACTTTGGTAGGTTACTTGATTTAGGTATGACTTGGGCAGAATCGC